GTGACCCTGTCAGTGTATTCATGTAATTAATTCAGTATTTGTAGACACTTTATAGCAATCAGGTAGTTGCTTTACATGTTGTGTGATAACTTGTCTTCTATCAACTGTCATATAAACAAATTTTCGTATCCAAGTTTATAGTAGACTCAGACTAGGTCAGAAAAAGGTTTGCTTGACAAAAATTTATGATCATTTCTAAGTATCTCACATTTTGAGAAAATGGTCAAGATTCAACTGAGGAACTTAAATCACCTTGTTCAATTCTTCTTAGGAGTCTTTCAATGTACAGTTAGTTACAAGAAAGTCAATAGGTAATACTTGAAAGAACTTTTCTAATAATACCAAGTGTGATTTATTGTGGTGACTTAGAAGACAGTAACTATAGTTACTGTGAGTGATGAAAAAAATAAAACTGGGAAGATGTATTTTAAACAGCAGGTAATCTATATTTGGTTCTTGTTCACTGATCTAATGAATCTAAAACTGTGTTTATTATTCAAGTTTTTTTTACCATATGTAATAGGTCAATAAGATGGACACACCAAATAAATCAGGAACTCATTGTATCCAAAATGCACTAAATCATGATTTTACACAGTGGACCTAATATAATCTTCGGTGCCTTTAGAAATTCCACCTTATACAAAAGACTTGATAATCACTATCTGATCAAGTACATGGTGGCACAACATGAACAACTCTCAAATGTTCTAGGGATTTTAAGTGTCTCGATCTTAAGAACAGATAACCAAGGATCACCCAACCTTTAAAGAACATTCATAGACACAGGCCAAAACATAAGAAAAATTGTAATCACATAACAAGATGCACTATGAAATATATGTTACCTAAATATAAAATATAATTAGATTCAAGTTAAATATATATTTAGTTAAAACCAGGTAATTTCAAAAATTTGACATCTCTATAGTAAGTTATTGCCTTGAAAAATGAACTAGTTTAGAATACAAAAAACCTAGAGGGCAATAATCAATTTCAATATGTGGATATTGCTTTGAAGAAACTAACAAAGACTATTTTTTAACAACTGAAGAAATATAAATGCAGGCTTGGTATTAATTACATTTTACATCATGCAGGAAAATATTCTATTTTTTAAGATTCAGACTAAATACAAATAACAGTAATACATAAGTGAACACATTTATAAACACAGATAACAACAGCAAAAGAATGGTAATTGAATGAAACATACAATATCAATGAGAGTAAATACAAAATGAAAATCTTGAGAAAATAAATTTCATACATAAAACAATAGGGTGTTATAAAGAGAGAATTCCAGAGAACAAGAACCTTTAGATTTTATTAAAAACTGGATAAAAATAAAATTTAATAGAAATTAAAACTCGATTGTTGATCAACTTAAGGAAATCTCACAGAAAACAGAACAGGTAAAGAAAAAAAGAAAATGGATAAGAAAATTAAGATCAGTCTTGTCAGTGCAGTTTCTATAGATGACCCATAGAAAACAAGACTGTGGATAAGATTATTCAGGACAATGCAAAACATACTAGATAGAAAACACCATGGCCCTCAAAATACAGCTAGTTGTAGCAAGACTATTGGCACTATTCTTGTTTCATAATTTCCTTTTGTTTTCTGATACATGACTTTTAAAAAAAAGTCAACAGATAAGGCTCAACCACCTCTCAGTTAACTGGGAAGATAATTCTAACACCTGCTGGTCATTTTTAACATGTGACATTCTGAAGGGTTCTCTCCATGGCAGGAGAAAGAACTAGAATTGAAGAATTTGCTTTTCAACGCACAGAACCAGGATTCCATTGCGATTTTACTGCTGTCTCTAATGTCAATGTCACATCAAGAGCCCAGAATTCGTCCTCACAAGTAGGTTTTTATATCCTGTAATTAAGCTCTAAAGCACCTTTATAGATTTAAAAAAAAATATGCTGATTAAAAAAAAAAAAAACAGAAAATAGTTTGCTACTCTATGCCAGACTTATTTACTAGCATGTTTAGAACTATACCATTAGGAAATAGTAAATTTGGTTAAATAGACATTTTTACTTGGAAGCTTAAAGCTCATCAATCTTTGGTTATGAATTCTTTTTCTGTTAAAAAATTTAATAACCATCTCTACTTGTTACTATACAAAGCTAAATATAGTCCTGCTAATGAACAATCAGAATTTATATTGCTATTAATATGTTTTCTCCCTACCCCCCTTTCTTTTGGCCATCTGGAGTAGAAAGGTCAAAGATACAAAGGTTTAGAAGTCTGAAGCTCAAGAGCCAGGAATAAATAAATGAAGATTTGCAACGATGATCCCCAAATTTCATATGCATATAAATATTCATCACATATATTCCAAAAGAGACTGTTTTGGTTAATAAAGATGGGGCATAGTCTCTTAATTTGTTTTCTTGATATTTTGTAATCAGATTTGTTAACAGCTAGTTTATAAATATTATGTGACAGGTATGCTACATATTTTTATATAACTAATGACAAAAGGTTATCACCACAGGTAACACAAACAGTACTATAAAGTAGTACAATAATTCTGTTTTACAGAATACTGCACGACGCAGGTTAAGAAGTGAGAGCTCTTATGACATAGATAACATTGTGATTCCCATGTCATTAGTAGCCCCAGCCAAGTTAGAGAAACTCCAATATAAAGAAATACTTACTCCACGGTATGTATGAATATCTACTTTCTTTCTTCTTTTTTTAATAAACTAAATTCAGGATCAAGTTAAAATCTTTAAAAAATATTTTTATTTTATGTGTATGAGTGGTCTGCGTGTTTAAGTGCACCATGTGCAAGCAGTGCCAGAGGCCAGAAGAGAGCCCTGGACCCCTGGAACTGGAGTTAGGGATAGTTGTAGAGCCACCATATGGGTGCTGGGTACTGATAAGAGACCTTGCTGAAATGCTCTTAAAACCTAAGCCATCTCTCTAGTCCTCAAGTTAAGAAATTTTTTATTTTTTTTTTTATTTTTTTTTTATGTGTATGAGTGTACTGCCTGCGTGTATGTGAGTGCACGATGTTGTGCAATGCCTTGGAGGTCAGAAGAGGGTTCGGATTCCCCTGGAACTGGAGTTAAGGACGGTTCGTAGCCACATGTGGGTGCTGGAAATCAAACCTGGGTCTTCTGCAAGAGCAGTCAGTGCTCTTAACTGCTGAGCCGTATCTCCAGCCCCTAAGATCTTAACTGAGGAGGATGCTCTCCCTTTCTTCCCTATTTGCACAAACACAAGAAAAATGGTAAAAAGGACTATTTATACTAAAGAAAAACAGCTATACAGTCCTACAACTTTATCTTTAGATCTCTCTCATTAAGTGAGAAGTGCTAAACTGATTTATTTTAGCATTCAAATTTCTTTTTTTCAGTCAATTATGTTCTAAGTACCTGTTATGAACATGTCACTAGTATGGTACTACTGACAGTGTAAAAGCTACAGCAATAAACAGTTCATGCACTGTAAGATAGACGAGGCACACATAGTTGCAAAGAGTTCAAAGAAGACAATGACTGCATTTATATGTGTACCCATACTGTACGACAGTAGCACCTGTGACAACAAAGATTTTGATTTATTTCCAAGTCAGCAATAAATACACTAATAGAAAAAAATGAAAGGAATGTCCAGGAAGATATCCATAAAGGTAGAAGTGGTTATGTATAGAAAAACAACAAAGGCACACAAGTGTGTAAGGCTTAGTCAGACACCAAGGCTCCTCAAATGCCATGCACAGATCTGCTTGCACTGGCAGTGAAATGAGCCAAACTTTTTAGCAACAGTATAAGCAGTTTCTTAAAAATGTGATTATGGCAGCAGGAAATAGAAAACGTTGTAAATCAAAAACATGAGCCAGGTAACAGTTGTCATTAACTCCGACCTCCTTCATTTTAATTTTTTAAGCTTTCTTACTACTTCATAATCACTGAGGTGAAGTCTGGCACTCTAGGAGGTATTAGAATTGTTTGTATAGAAGGATTGACATTTTCTGGAACTAGGAATACTGTTGTGGTTATAAGGTTCTACAGCAACAATAGTAACCGCCTGGAGTGGCGGGCTGGCGCTAGCTAGCAAAAGTGGTTAAATACAGAATTCTGTGAGCCAGCTGTTAAACTATTGATAACTCAAGTGGGGCCATGATACACACATTTCAATACCAAAGAAAATTGGCAAACACTGTGAACCAGAACTGCTTTTTCTTCTTCCTTCTTTTGACCAAGCCACTGAATTAATTCAGTCAGCACAAAATTATTACATATAAAATGCAGCTATGCAGAAGAGACTGTCCACTGAAAGTCACAAAAATTCATCTACCTCCCTTAAAATTTTTTTTTCTCTTTAAAAAGAGAAACTATTGAAATTCAGTCATTTCAATTATGGAAGGCCCAAGGAAATAAATCACTAATTTAGCTGAGCTTAGAGATAAGAGTTGCTGTTATTTGGGTAAAAGCTGTTTGAAATTGGTTTGTATCTTCAACAGCTGGAGGATGGTTGTTCTTCAGCCTTTGGATGAACACAATTTAAGTGACGAAGAGGTAAGCTGCCTTACATTCAATGGGATAATTGCAATTTCTACATTATAATGCCTACATAATTTAAGGACCTAAAAGAAAATATAAATCCCTTAGCATCTGATATTTTTCATTTATGAAACTTCTTTCAAAAGGATATTCATTTTGCTAGGGAAAATGTTTCCTTGAAAATTTGAATACAAAAGTAATAATATAAGCCTAGCCTATCTTCCCAAACAAAAACAAACAGAAAAAGTAATGTGGTATATATCGCGTTAATACCAATTCAGGGACAGTTCTAGTAACAATCAAAAATTAATGGTTTTGTAGCCAAATATACAAAAGCAAATGTAATAAAACATTAAGAATATTCTCACATTTCAGATCAGAATTATATGAAAAATTTGTGCGATTTTTCAGATTTTTCAATATAATTTGTGATAAAGGTTTTGAACCCGTATAAACTATATTAAGAACAGTTACAGAAAGCACTATATAACCAAGCTGATTGTGAAGTGGTGTTTAGAAGCTGAATGATATAGAAGGCACAGAGTTTCCTTCAAGCAACAGTGCTTCTATGCCCAGTGCTTGTGTTTTTCACTTACCTGATACCTTCCTTTAATGCATTTTGCTCTTCCAGTGAACTCTTTTTAATTTAAAAGTAGAAAGAAGCAGAAAGCCAGGAAGACCAAATTCACAAAAAAAGTTATCTAGTCAAAAACCTCCCGTAAGTCAGTAACTGAATTCTGTTTTATTTAATCAGTTTTACTTTTCATATTAATATGTTCTTAGAACTCTGTATGGTTAATATGAATAATCAAAACTCTGTGGAATGAATTAAGATTAGTACTATTTTATGTAAAATGGGCATGGTGACATAATACCTGTAGTTCCTGCACTCAAGGTTGAGGCAGGAGGAGTTCACATTCAAAGCTAGTCTTAGGCACAGAGCAAGCCCCTGTCTCAAACCAAAACAAAGCACCATAAGCTGTGGCAAATGGAAAGCACTATGAATCCATTTATAATCTAGGTAAGTATTAAAACACAAGCCAAGAATAAAAATTGTGTTTTTAAAAAAGCTTTGTGCTTTCAGCAAAGACTATTAGAAACCTGTTTTCATATTTCAAAAATCTTACCAGATAGAAGATCTTTCTGATGAAGTCTTCTCCCTAAGACACAAAAAATATGAAGAGAGAGAGCAAGCTAGGTGGTCACTCTGGGAGCAAAGCAAGTGGCATAGAAGAAATAACAGGCAAGTATTTCAAGTTTAAAACACAAAGGCACAAAATATATGAGAAATGAACAGAAATTAGCCATAATAAATTTTGAGAAAGACCACTGAAAAGGAAAACGTAAGGATGTAATACCAGGTATTGTATAAAGTGGCATCTGCATATACTAAACTTACATTCAAAATACATTTGGGCTAATTACATAGCCAAGAATTGAGTTTCTATATTTTTCTCCCTCAGGTGCTGCTAGTCACAAGATTACATGGCAAATAATATGAACACTCTATATAAACTAGCTCATTTCATCTAGGCACAGTGGCACACACCAGTACTTAGGAGGCTGAGGCAGGGCAATCTCAAGTTTGAGACCTAGGTTACATAGTGAGAACCTGTTCTCCAAAATCTAAAAGCAAACCATTTCAGTCTACTTTTAGCAACATGCTATAAATTCTTGTTGAAAGGATTCTCTTAATATAAATGAGACATCTTTTTTCACACCCTAGAGATAAAACTTCACAGAGATTCAGGGGAAAAATGTGAATTGAGGCCATCATGCATGGTATTAAAATGATTATAGAATACCCTGAGACTCAAAGATTGTAAAGGTCAAGTAAAATTGTCCTTTTTTTATGTCTTGCAAAATCCAAGTCTAACCAAATAAGAAAAACAACTATTGTAAATGACTAAATATTTAATGAAGATGAAGTACTATTTTTAAACCCTTGAGATATGAAAACAACATTGGGAAGATCATCAGAAGACCCCTTTGAAGTCTTTTGGAGAGAAGTAGTAAAAGAAGAGCTCTTGACTTGTGATGCCTTGTATTCATAGAATGTTAAAATAAGTCTTTGTTTTCTTGCTAGAGTTTACAGTAAAAATGCTGAAGGACAGGATTTGATTTTGAAAGAACACGCTAATGACTTTAATAATGGTCAGCAATGTGCTGCTCAAAGTCCTCTTGAGCTTCCAGCAGAGAGCCATGATCTGTGTGGACAGGATTCACTTTCTTTAAATGAAAGTCAAGAAGTCAAGGTAAGCCCAAGTTATATGATTAAACTTTAACTGCCTTTTTAAACTTCATTTTTCTTATGTACAGAAACTGCTCGTTGCAAATTGTTTCATCATTACATCCCAAATTCAGTCTAGTATGTTCGGTAACATCTGTATTCCAACACTCTAGCTCCTGATGTCAGTACCACCTTCCATCTATAATTTGTTAGGGAATGGGGATTCTATCAGTTTCATTAAAATACAAATCTGATTAGTGGAGCACTGCACCTGGTCCACAGTAGGTGCTACTTCTATTTCTTTTCCTCCTCTTACGTAGGGTTTTTACTTGTCTCCCCATAAATCCAGTTCCTACTTTAGGATAATATATTCTAGCACCACATAAAGTTTATGCATCTTTCGTCATAAAAGCTGTTGAAAAAGAGCTAGATCTCGAATGGAGTGATAACAGAAATTAATAAGCAAGTTGTACAAAAATCAGGCAGGAAAAACCAATGTATATCTGTAATAATAAAGAGATAGAAATTCAGTGGGGCAAATTTAAAAACACTTTTAAAAGGAGTTTCCTAAGGTGTACTTGGGCTGAAAATGAAGACCAGTGGTCTGTAACAGCATTTCTCTTTGTGGCAAAGGCAAAGTGAAGAAATAAGTCAGTAAAGTCTCAGTATATTCCATTTTGAGTTGAGATGAACTGAAAATCTGTACTTATGTGCTAAAGGAATAATTATAAAATTGACATTTACAGATTACTTAACAAATAAATCAAGTTAGTTGAAACTTAACTGAAAATGTTTCCCCTTTCAGTCTTTGTGGTGGGAACGACGAGCTTTTCCACTGAAGGATGAGGACACAACAGCCTTATTATGCCAGGATGAAAGAAAGGATCAGACTGAGAGGGCACACACAGCCTTCCACGGTGAAGTTTTCTGTCCTAGCGCAGCAGAGGACGGCCACCCTCCAAAAATGCAGTCAGAGGGAATGGAAGAGCATAAAACCTTTGGTATAGGAGTTGCTAATGTTAAAAGAAATAGGTGACAGGGAACATGTTAAGAAAACTGAAAGGAAGACAGGAAAAAAAAACAACCCCCTTCTGGATTTTCCACCCCATGGTCACAGTTCCAGAACAAGAGGACATGCTGCATGCATCCATCTTATACTGTCTGTGAAGCAGGCCAGAGAAGTTTCTCTTTCCTTCCTGCACCACAGAAGTAGCTAGCTTTTCATCTACACAGAAAAGCTGGTCATTTGTGCTTGTCAGATAGGTCACAAGCATCAAGATTAACTGCTGCCATTTGAAGCTAAATCACATTGCTGGGTAATTTTTAAGGTGATATCTCCCCATGTATACTTGACTTGCCTCAAATGACAACTATTTTTTTTTTGTTCACATGGTAATTCACTAAAATTGCCTCAGAAATATGAGAATATACCAATGTGTACATAGAAAACACACACATATGCACGCACTTGCACGTAGTTTTAAGACTGTGCTAACAGTGATCCATGCCACTTAAAAATGCATGTATGAACTACTCTATGCAATGCAAGCTGCAACAAACCTCAAGCACAGGTGTCCACTAATAAAACACCTAAAAGCTTTGACTATGTAGAGGGAGGTTTTTTTTTTTTTTTCTTTTTAACCCTTTAACCAACACAAGTTATTCACGTGAATTCTTACATCAGATAACACAGTATTCATTTATTTGAAATCACTGTTATCTCCTGCACTAACCACAGGCTACTTTGTTTATTACTAATAGAATTAAGAGAAGCAACTTAGAATTTAATATTGGTACATTTTAAAATGATCACATTTTTTGAAAATTCAACTTGAGTTTTTAACCTACTTTATGTACCTCATGGAGATATCAATTTAAAATGTATAAACATAAAAATTGTAAGGTGGTTGTAATTCTAGCTACTGTACAGCTAGAAAATTTACTGTATTCTAGTTAATCCGTTCCTCCTTTGCTATAGCTTACATTATTCAAATGTCTGCTCTTATGGGCATCCTAGATTAAGAATTCAGATTTTTCAAAGAGTCAGACTTTAATATCGATTACTGACCGAGGAATGCACATAAGCAAAATTCTTTTGGAACCTATGATACCATTTTTCCTATATGAAAATTGAGGATAATTTGTATGAATCACTTTGTCATGTAAAAAAGGTTATTCAATTTGTAGTACTCATATTACTGAAAATCCTGGCCATTAGTTCTAAAGTCTGTGGGAATGGACACTAAAGGGGGTAACAAAAAAACCATTCAAATTCAATACTTACAGACTGTTGCTTATAGTTTCACTGTACATTTATTTTTAAAGAAAAAGAAAACAAAAGCCAGAAAAACACAAGTTGCCCCAGCAAATAAATTCAAATCTTTGTCATGTCTAATAGTATAATCTACATTTTTTAATTAAAGTTATTTCTATATGCCTTGTATTGTGTGATTTGATTAAATGCTATTATTCATGAAACCAATCTTTCTTAAGCTAAAATAAAAACAAGTATTAATAAACTTCTACCTTGTAGGGCAGGAAGAAGCCCAAACAAGTTCTATTCCATGAGAACGTGTCAGTGTTCTTATTTTTTTAACCTTATTTTTCAAAACATATAGCCTGAAGAAATTTAACAACACTGGTTTTTTTTCCTTGTCATATTCAAAAGTGAAGTAGCTGATACATAGTCTCTGGGTTACTGGGAACACAGTTATAAATACTTAGCTTACAGAGTAACTCTGTATCCTATCATCTCAGCTTATTCTTTCTTCCTTAGAATAAAATCTGTATCCCTGGGGTCAAAATCCATAGATTAGCAGAGTAGTTCTTGACACTCAATTCTTTAGAGGGTACAGTTAAACTGAAAATAAAGACAAGTAAAAGAAGTTTGTTTTTTGTAACCTCAAGAGCTATTTCTAATTGAGGAAGTCCTAGTAGTTAAAGCAGTAGAAGAGACCAGAAGGCCTATTCGGTGTGGGACCCTTCCCAGGTACCAGCCCAAGGGCAGAGCTTCAGTTTCTATTTCTTATAATGGACAAAAATAACTGCTCTCCCACTTATAGAAGAATGTAGGGGCTTAATGAAATTATACCAGAATGCTTCATAATGCACAAAACAGACATAATACTACCCATTTTGTGTTGAGCAGAAGTTTAGTAATACCATAGGCTTTCTAATATCACATTACCTCTTAATTCTCAATGGCAGTTACAGTTCCATTCAACATATGAGTTAATAGTGAAAACAGACTGGGTGATCTATTATGGTCAAAGAGGTAGAAAGGGGCAGAGTCAATATTGAACACTATAGAACTTCCGAGACTACATTTTTTTCTTTCTGCTCACAGCTAACACAAAAGCATTATTTGATAGCCCTAATGGTGGTTCAGAGTAAGAACCAGGAGCAGGAAGGAATCACTGAGCCACCTGCTTTGACCCAAAACAAAACAAAACATCTTGGTAAAAATCTATGCTTGGATTTTAAAAACCCTGGGCTTCATACATTGTTTTTATCTTCTAATAAGCCAAGTGCAAGTGAAAAAGTTTCAGATGCCAGACTCTGACATGCCACCACACCCGAGCTTCTATTTTCAGCTCTATTCCATTCATATGATCGAGCATATAAACAAATCACAAATGGCATGAAGCAGGAAGAATAAGGATGCCATCTGCTTTAGGGGTAAAGCTGGGAAACAACAGAACATTCTTTTTAAAAAATGCAGGGAAAAAAGGTTTTCATAGTAGCTAATTTTCCTCCTCAGTAAGACACATTTTTGTTTTTAACCTTAACAGGGTCATATTTTCCTTCTTTACAAAAATCATTCTCCCAGTATAAACAGATTATTTCATCACATTAATCTATAAATTGCTTCACTAAAAAGGTAGTTATACACACCAATTTCTAACCTCTTAAACATCCTGCACAATAGATTTTAATGACTGGATTTGCTCAGAAAAGCAGTACTGCCTCAAATACAATACGATTTGGTAGTCAATATTCCTCTCTTCCAGTGAAAAAGGCTTCACAAGCAGAAATCCTTGGATCCTTGTTGTTTCATCGATCAAGAGAACGTTTCTGAGCAGCTTCTGAGCAAACGTTTCTCAGTAAGTTGATCACAGCTCTGGGGTCGTCACTCCTCATAATGGCACTGCCAGACACAATCATGTTAGCTCCTGCCTGGAAGAAGCACACACTTAGGTTACACAGTGAAAGCAGAACCGAATAAACACAAGTCCTAGACTAGACTCTCCACCCTTGCCTCTGCCAGCACTTTCCAGAGGCTGCTTTGAGGTGAGCAAACTGAGGCACTGTAGTTCACAAAGGTAAGGATAAAATGCTTATCAACAAGGCTATGGAGTCATTTTACATGTCTACATAGTCATTGACCTTTGGGGTTAACTAACTTTAAGCTACATAGTACCTTTGTTAATATTTAGATGAAGTTGTAAAGTCCCCAGTCCTCAATTCAAGTTTTCCCTCATACTAATAACCCAAAGATATTAAAGAAACAATTGTTTAGATAATCTGAAAGTTCAGAGACAATTATTGTGAAAATGTTGCCATAGAATACTGGCAACATTAGTAACTTCTCACTCTGTGTCGGAAAGAATATAAAAATTTATCTTTATGCTTTCTTTGTATTGCAGAATGGTTTAATGTGGTTTAGGAAAAATTCTCCAGATGACATTTTAAAAAGTATAAGCAAAGAAATGGGGGGATCCCCAAACCTTATAAGCTCAAACAAGGTGACTCCAAATTTAGCTCTGGGCTTCTAAGGATTTACAGGATTCAACCTGAGAAGGGAAACCCAATCTGCTGTGTGACTCACTGCTGGAATTGGGAGAATCACAAGTTGAAGAAAATTTCTCCAGGGAGACCCAGTCACCTTATGGCAAAGCATCACATCTCCAACAACTTCTTTCCAGAAATTATTATGTATAGGGTTATTGCTTAACAGGTTTTTAATTTAAGCAGGGATAGCATAATATCAAAGAAGAGTTCAAAAGAGAGCAATTCAACCGGGGAAAAGGCGACATGCTTAGTAATCATCTGACCAGCTACTTTTCCATAAATATTTATCACTGCTCAGCCTTTCTGTTTATAGCTGTCTTTTTTTTTTTTGGAGCTGAGGACCGAACCCAGGGCCTTCCACTTGCTAGGCAAGCACTCTACCACTGAGCTAAATCCCCAACCCCTGTTTGTAGCTAAGTCTTACTATGTACCCCAAGCTAGTCTGAACCTCATTTCAAAGTCCTCCATTTTAGCTTTTGTCAGGTACCTATTTACCAAGCAGAAAAGTGTAGGTATTATAGAAGAACCTGAAAAGGCAGATACATGCACTCCTGAATAAAAGGCAGATGGGCTTCAATCATTCAATCACCCAGAGTTCTAGAGGGGCTGCCATCTTATGAAGGTCAGGAAGCAAAACTAAGCAAGGGTAGCCACCTAGAGAAAACAAACTTAGCCCTACAAATGGAACTAGGCCTGGAGTTTCATCAGAAGTGGTTATAGTCCCTTTTTTTTTTTTTTTTTTTTTTTTTTTTTTTGGACAGGGTATCAGTATTAGCCCTAGCTGGATGGCTGGCTAGTCTTGAATCCTGAATCACAGAGATCTGCCTGCTTTGCCTCCTGAGTGCTAGGGTTAAAAGTCAGTCATTTCCCCTTTTTTTTGGTCTTTTTGAGATAGGGGCTCCCTGTAGCCCCAGCTGGCCTGAAACTTGCTATGTAGACCAGGCTGGCCTTGAATTCACAGAGATCCACCTGCCTCGGCCTCCCTAGTACTGGAACTAAAGTTGTGCATTACCTCGGCTGGTCAGTCATTTCTTACAAAGAAAAAACACAGCTAATTATTTTTAAATTCTGAAGAACAGCATAATTAGGTCAGTTAAATTTCTTGATATATTTTTTTTTTTCCTTAAAGACAGAAATATCTTTTTAAAGAAAAACTTCTCACTGCTAGGCCTTGAAACTTAATGGTTTTACAAAGGGCTAATATTCAGGATGTTCTTTATGTTTTTTTGAGACAGGGTCTCTCTGTAGCCCTGGAGGGTCTGGAACTCACTATGTAAACCAGGCTGGCCTCCATCTCACAAAGATCCACCTGCCTCTGCCTCTGGAGTGCTGGGATTAAAGGTGTGTGACATCATGCCTAGCTCAACATATTTCCGTATAAAGCACTACTTCACCATTACCCTGATGACCAGAATATGCTATTTAATAATTTATGTATCTTTGAAACTCATTCTTTATTTCCCTAGTCCTACATTTGAACAAAAATATTATCCCAAGAAAACCAACTTGAGAAATTTTTTGGCCACAAGACTGTCCTGTAAATTACATATGGAGGGAACTGTACTGGTCACTGTTGGGGAGCAATCTCACCTCTGCACATTTATGGACAGTGTCAGGACCTACTCCACCATCGACCTCTATATCCAAAGTTGGGAACTGGGTCCTCAGCCAGTGAACCTAGACATACATGAAGAAACAGTGACTCCCAAAGAGAAGATGCAGGGGAATACAGCCAAGCACACAAAATATCAGAGAGCTGAGACCAGCAATTAAAACTCCAAACCTCTCACGAAGTTAACTATACCAACACAAAATAGTGGGGATCACTTTTTAATATACTAAGACACATTACATTTTATAAAATTTTGTTTAGCAAATGACATTCAATTTTTGATAGCTTTGTTAAGACTGTAACTTCAAGAAAACAAGACAAACTTCCAAACCTCAATGAAACCTCAAGTGATCTAAAGATTATGAAAATAATTTTTGAAAGAATAACAGGTAAAATATTAGCTTTGGTTTTTAAAAACATTCACCTACAGCATCAGATAATACTGTATTTCAGTGATGGAGGGCATTCTTGTCCCCTCACCTCCAAAACACGACATGTCTCAACAACAAATATATCAGTACATGCTTACTGAATAATACACATAAAGAGTAAAAGCCTCATCCAAAATTAAATATTTCTTTTACCTTGGGCATCATATCTTCCATGAATTTCTGTCCTCCAAACCCAGGTTCTACGGTCATTACCAAGGCCATATCGATTTGATTAGCCCAGGGGGCCAAATATTCAACTGTGGTTCCAGGTTTGATGGCAAGGCCAACCTGTAACAGAGACAAAGCTGCTACATCATGTTCTTTCCCTGGTGTGCTACTGTGGCATAGCAGGCCTAGTCAAAATATAAACTTATAAAACAGAATACCTAAAGTATTTAGACTATTGCATTTGTGTTATCTTTAACCTGACGTGGCCACCAAATATGAATGATTCCAAAGGTATTAGCTTTCAAAAAACATTAGAAGAATGTATATTGCAAATATGTAGTACTTAAACTCGGCATCACAGCTGGATCCCAGCTGCTCACACCCTCTTTACCCATCATCTGCTTTCTAACGAATCTTCCACGCTCTGACTCCTAGCACTGACTTCTTACCTTCATCCCATTCTCCCGAATGTCTTTAATCAAAGCTCCGGGGTTTTCTGTCGCCTCGAGATGAAAAGTGTATTGATTGGCACCTGCCACGGCCATAGGCTTTACCCACTGCTCTGGCCTCGCCACCATCATGTGCATGTCTGTGAAGAGAAGGCGGCTCCTGATCATCATGGGAAGGAAATGCCTGGCTCCTGGTATTGAAGTCAACCTCTAGTTTCTGCCATTTTGAATATAAATGCTTCTTGCACTACAAACATGATCAGTTACTTTGGTATAGGTAGTTTTCCTCTCTCAAAAATAAGTTTAGTTAAACTCACTTATGAAATAAAGTTTTTCCACAAAGAGCACAAGCTGGTGCATATGAAAAGTAATGACAAGAAATCAGGAAACAGTTCTAAGTCCAGTAAATGCCACACTAAAAAGCTTAAAGAAGTCACACTACCTGTTCAGTCTTGCTTTCATCAGAAATGATGTAATTCTCTCCATCTGTTCTTTCAGGCAACCATTACCTGCACTTTCTGCACCATGAATGTTACTCTAGGTCCTAGAAATCAAGTTGTTTCTCAACTACCCTGATGACTTTTCTTCGTGAGACAAACAGTAAAATAAGTAGAGAAAACACAAATAGGTTGGGCAATCACCCCAGCATAGCTGGGATACAGGAGGAATGAGGAGGTGAGAGGAGACAGCGAGGAAGGAAAGCAGAGTTCTGCTGGCTGTTGGGAATTCTGAGTGACATGGGGAAAAACTCAGGTCTTTGAGTGAAGTGACAAGATCCAAACAAGGCGCGACTGGGACAGAAACCAAGGTAAGAAAGGCAATGGCAGCGACTGAGGGCTCTAGGTGTGTTCTGAAGGCACAGCCAACAGGAGAGGTGAGTGTCTTCAGATGTAGACAGTGAAAGGAGAATTAAGACAAAGCCAAGAAGGCGGGCGGGAGCAGCTAGAGCAAAACTGCCATGAACCGAATGATACAAGATTTTAGAGGGAAAGGCAGGCTACTAGAGAGGCCTGAGAGCCTAATTATGTTTGTTTTATATAAATACGTAAGGAGAACATGGGCATGGTCTTCTTAAAGTTCTAATAGTGTTTTATAAGAAGACAGCTTAAATGAGACTAGACCAAAAAAATCACCCTGGGAAGAATTCTATTGTGGGCAGTGAGGAGAGTTGTTTTATAAGAGGAAGTACATTTCTGACATTGCTAAGTTGTATTTTAAAAATAAATTCTAGGGGCTGGAGAGATGGCTCAGTGGTTAAGAGCACCCACTGCTCTTGCAGAGGACCCAGGTTTGATCCTCAGCATCCACATGGCAGCAAACAACCATCCATAACTCCAGTTCCAGGGGAGCCAACACCTCTTCTGATCTCCACTGGCACTGCAAGACACGGGTGCACTTATATACATGCAGGCAATACACTCATGTACACAAAATAAAAATAATAAATAAAATATTAAAAATAAATAACTAATATTCTAGAACTTAACAAAGATTATAAAATCTAATAAAGCTCTAGAAAAGAGACAATGAAATCAGTATTACAGTATGTATTTCTAAACTAACAAAAACAATTAAATAGAACATATATTAACAGCTAAAACTCAGATTCCAGCACTCTTTTGTGGATATTGGCTAGATGTGCAAATATTTAATATTAGAAATTCAAACTAAGATAGTTCAAAATACTTGTTAATGCTTTAAATGGTAATAGAGATTCCAGCAATCCCCTTCACCTACAGTTTGACTTCCTGCGGCTTCGTTTCTGAGATTTTCTGGAGTCAATGGTGGTGTGAAATTACCAAACATAAAATTCCACAAGTAAACACACTCTAAGTTTTATACTGAGCACCTCACAGCAGCTTGCTCTGTGAATAATCCCTTTGTCCAACAACTTTAAGGAGTCCCTTCTTTCACTCCTGAGATCCACCTAAGGTTGTGAAGCTCACACAACAAGCACTTTCATAGGCTGAGTCATCTCACTGGTCCCTATTTTTTACTTGACAACAGCAACATAGCACAAGAGTGAAGATGGCAATTAGACAAACCTTAATGCTTTCTTAAGTATCATCTCATCACAAGGATTACAGTCACATAATTTGACAGAGACTGCATTCACATAATTTTTATTATATTGTCCTAACTGTTCTAGTTTATTACTATTTGTTCTCACTAACTATACCTAATTTATAAATTAAACTTTATCACTGGTAAATGTAAGAAAAACACTGAGGATGCTCTATGCCTGTCCTAGTTACTTTCTATTGCTATGATAAAAACACTGACTAAAACCAACTTGGGGAGAAAAGGGTTTATTTTATCTTATAGCTCTTAAGTCACAGTTCATCAATGAAGGAGGTCAGGGCAGGAACTGAAGCACAGGCCATGGAGGAACAATGCTTACTAGCTCACTCCTCTGGCCTGTGCTCAGTCTGCTTTCTTATACAACACAGGCCCACCTGCCCAGAGCTGGCACTGCCAACAGTGGGCTGGACCCTTCCCACATCATTCAACAATAGAGAAAATGCCCCACAGACATGGCCACAGGCCAGTCCATGGAGGAAATTCCTCAATTGAGGTTCTCTCTACTGAAGTGTGTCAAGTTGACAAATGAAACTGGCCAGCACAATGTCCTCAGCACCAAATATTCAGCCAATATTTAATTCTTTGTGCAAAAATTAGCACACCAATCTTATTACTATGGAAATTTGCTTCCATGTTAAATGGAAAAAAAAAATACACATACCAAAGAGTTGTTTTAAAATAAATTTATGATTTGTTACCAGCAAATGTTTGATTTGTTGTCCATTTTATATAACTGCAGACCCAGGGTTGCATAAGAGTTCCTTAGGCAAAAAGGGATTGTGAGGGAAAGAAAAAAACTGTAAGAAGTCCTGTTCTATGTCAGGCATTGTGGTGAACACCTGTAATCCTAGCGTTTGAGAGGTAGAGTCAGAGGATCAGGAGTTCAAGACCAGCCTGGACTACATGAGCTCCTATCTCAAAATTTAAAAACTAAAGTAAAAGTAATATAAAGTAAGAAATCCTTATTATACAGTATATTAGTAGTATTTCTTAGATAAGGTACCCAATAAATTACATGAGACAGTCACCACTTTATTATAAAATACACCTCATTAGATGGTTTTTACTGTAGGCTAATGTAAGTGTTCCTGAGCACATTTAAGAAAGACTAAATTATGCTTTAATGGTAAAAATGAATTGACAGGTAATTCTTAAGTCTATGAATTTTTTTTTTTGTCTTTTTGAGGCAGATACTCCCTGTAACCTTAGCTACATAAGACAAACACCACTTTATTATAAAATATACCTGATTAGACGGTTTTTACTGTAGGCTAATGTAAGTGTTCTGAGTACATTTAAGACAGGAGAGGCTAAACTATGTTTTAGAGGTAAAAATACATTTTTGACAGGTAATTCTTAGTCTATGAATTTTTTTTTTTTTTAGACAGGGTCTCCTCCAGGTAGCCTCAGCTGGTCTGGACCTCACTATATACACCAGGCCGGCCTTGAACTCACAGAGATCCGCCTGAGTGTCCCTCCGAAGTGCTGGGACTACAGGCGTGCACCACCACACCCGACAGTCTATGAAATACTTACAGGAGCATAACCCTGTGATAGGCTGAGAAACATCTGCATGAGGATGCCACCAAGCTCCTAAGACGTAAGTGTTGTACAGAAATCTTACAGGCTCCATGGCAACAAACATTGACAAGGCATTTTCCTTGAAGTTCACTTGTTAATTAAAAAACAAAAAGTCAGGGGAGGGGGTCTGAAGGTGACCAAAATATAATAAAAACATTTTTGGGTAAAAAGTCATGATTAAAAAAAACAGTTTTTCAGTTTTCTTTCAAGAGGAAAATGATGCTTGAAACAAACAGCTAGTTCAGATTGTAACTCAAACTATGATACAACTTATTTTACCTGAGAAAAGGACCACATGCAAGTGCATTCTACTTCCTACTGCCACATAAACAAAATGCTCAAAGACTAATTTATTATAGCTGGCATGGTGGCGCAGGCCTTTAATCCCTCACTTGGGAGGCAGAGGCAGGCAGATCTCTGTGAGTTCAAGGCCAGCCTGGTCTACATAGTGAGTTCCGGGCCAGCTGGGGCTACAGGAAGACCCTGTCTAAAAAAGACCAAAAAAGGGCTGGAGAGATGGCTCAGCGGTTAAGAGCACTGACTGCTCTTGCAGAGGACCCACGTTCAATTCCCAGCACCCTCACGGTGGCTACAAACCATCCTTAACTCCAGTTCCAGGGAAATCCAAAGCCCTCTTCTGACCTCCGCAGCACTGCACAACACAGGTGCACTTGCATACATGCAGGCAATATACTCATACACATAAAAAAAAAATAATTAAAAAGGCCAAAAATAGAGACCACTTTATTAAAATCAGTAATCTATATTCCACTTCACCAAAGTGCACACTACAAACACACAGCAAGGAAGCATAGTACTACTGGTAGAGTTCAACGCCACTGCACCATTGATTTGGTCATGACGCCAACGAACTATTGCTCTTGCAACATCAGTATGGAAAACAGTAAATACAGTTTTAGTATTATGAAAATGGTTTTGAGAGCCTGGAGATATGGCTCAGCAGTTAAGAGTACTTGTAGCTCTTACAGAGGACTTTGTTCTCAACATCCACATGGAGGCTCTCAATCATCACTAACTCCAGTTTCAGGGGATCTGACACTCTTTCCTGGCCTCTGCAGGTACCAGGCACACACATGGTACACATATATACGTAGGTAAAACATACATCAAAAAAAAGGTAAGTAAATCTTTAAAAACAAAAAGAAAATGGTTTTGACAGAGTATCTAAAATGGATTTATATGGGCTCTTGAAGACCACTCCCTTAAATAGTAAGTACAGACTTTTCTTATTACTTTATTTCTTAAGACTTTTTTTCTGCTCAATACTAAGAGTTTTAGAAGCAGCAGAGCCCCTGCTCATGCAGGCCTGTAATAGAAGTTTCTCTGGAGGCTGAAGCAGGAGGATTTCAAGTTCAAGGTCAGCCTGAGTTCTAAGAATGAGTTCTAAGTCAGCCTGAGGTATTCAGAAAGAGCCTGTGTTAAAGTAGAGCCAGAGAAATGACTCAGTGGATAAAGGTGCTAGCTATGTACACCTGACAACCTGAGTCAGATCCTTGGAAGCCATGTAAACAGCCAGATAGAGTACTGCACACCTGTCATTCTAGTACTCCTATGGCAAAACAGGAGATAGATAAATAAAGCAGCCAGGAAGCAGAAACCAGACAGACCTTCCTTCCAGCAGGTGGAAGGGGAGAAGGGGCACCCAAAAGTTGTCTTCTGACCTCCACACCTGTGCTTTGTCACATGCACACCCATACTCACAAAGATTAAAAACATTTTTTTTAGGATTTAAAAATAAGGGGCTGAAGAGATGACTCAGCAGTTAAGAGCACTGGCTGCTCTTGCAGAAGACCCAGGTTTGAATCCCAGCACCCACATGGCAGCTGACAACTGCCCGGGACTCCAGTTCCAGGGGATCTAACGCCTTCTTTTGGCCTCCTCTGGCATTGCAAAACATGCTGGCATAACACTCATACACATAAAATAAAAATAAAAAGCTTAAAAAATATTTAAAAATAAAAGTAAAATGGCTGGGAATACAGTACAGTGGGAGAGTGAGTGTGCAGCATGTGTGAGGCCCTGGGTTCAATTTCCAATACCAACAAAAAAGAAAGATTTAACAAGTTATACATATGACATATCATCCACTTCCTAAAATACATTCAAACATCAATCATTCAATAACCAAGAACCAAGAATAAATAACAACAAAAATACTTCTGAACTAAAAAAAAACAATGGGGTTGGAGAGATGGCTCAGCAGTTAAGAGTACTGGCTGCTCTTGCAGAGGACCAGGGTTCAATTCCCAGCACTCACATGGCAGCATTCAACAACGTCTATAACTCCAGTTTCAGGGGATCTTACGCCCTCTTCTGATCTGTGGGCATTAAAGCTGGCATATACTCATTCACATAAAATAAAAACAATAAATAAAATATTTTAAAAAAACTGTAAAAAACAAAGTTCACAAAACTCAGTCATTAAAATTTATAGAATATTCACCTTTAATTTGGACCTAATTCTTAAAAGATTAATTAGTAAATTTATCAAAAAAAACAACTAAATTCAGAAAGAAACAGACTACACGTAGCAGTGGTAGCAGGGTATAAGGAGCAAAGACTCTAACAGCAGATACAGAAAACAGTAAAACGTGAGACGAGGAGTAAAAGGAAAAGGAAAAAATAATAATAAAAACATAAAGACAGAGCAAAGAACTGTATACCTACTGTACTGGGGGAAAAATATAATTTATTTTATTACTTCTTATAAGAACAAAGTAAATTTTAAAAAGTCATAGCATTATACAAGCTGATTAAAGAAGTTACTTTGGAAAACTCTTTTCCAAAACAAATTTTTAACATAACCAGGATTATAATCCACTATTTGAAATTTCAAAATGATGTCTATGTTGGTGAACTATTCTTGGCTCATGCCACATACATGCCACAAACTATAATACTGCACAGCTTCTTTGGTCTGCTCCAGTGGACAGATACTCGAGCAGGTATGTCCAGCCAGTAACCTAAATAAGGTGGAGGATAGCTATAAATGGAGCCCAACATGAAACTGTAAATTCACTTAAAATACCATGAAATTTTTGTGTGTGATTTGATTTTTGTAACTCAATTGTGTGGTTCTCAAGTGTGAACTTTGTAGATGACATCATGTTCCAACGTCAAAAAGCTGGACATGCTTGCTACAGGCTCTATCCAAAACTTTCTGCACTAGGAGAAATGTCTTGTGGCTGCACTGTGTAAGTCAGTGGCCACTAGCCACATGAGGCTATTGAGGCTTTGCAATGTGGTTAATGCGAAACTAAATGGATACACATGGCTTTTTGAGCTACCATGCTGAACAGTACAGCCAGTCCTTCATAAAACTGGTCCATCATATGCTGACAAAAACTTGGGATTCTACTTAATTCTCTAAGTTACATAAGAATACTTTTAGAATTTCTTAAGTACAGACATTTGGCAAGTGAGACATTGCTCACTTAGTGTTAGTAATAGCAAAAACATGTGAACTGAATCTCAGTTGAAATAACTTCCAGTTAAAAAATCTTCGTATTTATTTTCTTTGACACTGAACTGAAACATATTTAGGCCCTATCTTCAGAAAGCTCCAATTTGCAAGAAATAAATTGGCTGTTGGACCATTCTTCTGATTCATAAATTCAATCACTAATTACACTGGGCCCCCAATCATGTTTGACTGCTTAGCTTTAAGAAAACCAAAAGGTGAATTCTGTCTCTGCCCTCATGGATCTTACAGTCTGATAACCTCAGACTGAAGGAAGTTCTAAGATCATGGCTTACAAGCCCCTGAGGGAAAGAACTGGGGTCACTACTAAGATTAGCTAATGAAGCCCCACCAAGAAAACCTGAGAAAATGCAAGATAAACTTGAAAAAAGAAAAAGAAAGAAAAATATCAACCAGTCACATTTCCTTTACTTTAAGAACGTATCCAGTTTTAAAAGGTGTAATACCTACTTACCAAAGAAAGGGTCCTGCCCCAGCTGCTTTCGGAGGCTTTCTACCACAGGGTGACCAAAGGTGATGTTGGGAACAAAATGCCTACAAGACAAAAAAAATAAAATAAAATAAAATAAAAATCATACTTTGTAAACATTTTCAACTTCCATGCTGTATTTCTGTTAATATGAATTCTGGTGAGGGAATTCTTTCTGGGATTACAATGTTTTCCAACATAATACTTAACATTTTCAATATTAAACAAAAATAACTGGGCGATTTCAGTTTTACAAAGCAGTAGCAGTGTAACATTAAGCACATGTGTATTGTCACACATCTTCATAATGACAAATTTATAATCCATAACCCATAATAAACAGAAATGGAAAGATGGCAAAAAAACTGTGTGATGTGCACAAGTGACTCACTTGTTAGTAGAGATAAGGATGCTAACACAGGCGTCCTGAATCCTAGCTTGTCACAGGGAACTTCTAATTCATTTTAATCACAGAATACCAAATGACAGTGTATTTAAGCTTTTTAAACAATAACCAGTTTTTTTTTAAAAAATGATGTTTATCCTGGGGAACCATAGTGTACTGAGGGCTTAGGGCATGCCAGGCAACGTGCCTTTCTTCACACTCAATCAGATAGATACTAGTTATATTCCATGTGAAAGGGGGCACCTGACATCCTTCAGTCAGCCAGCTAATAATCTGCAGAGTAAAACTCAAGTTAAATCGACCTGGTAAAAGCCCTCACATACTTAAATACTTAACCTTTAACCTCCTTAGTTCATCTTCCTGTTGTGCCACTTGCTCACTTAAATATTTAATGATGACCAGAAAAAAAAGAAACAAAACCAACAAACAAAAAAACCTCCCACATGTAGACATGTACACACTGTGCTGTGCAACAGGTACTGTGGGTTTTTTTTTTTAATGGATTTATTTTTATTTTATGTGTATGAGTATACTGTCTTCATATATATAAGTGTAGCCCCGTGTATGATGCCCATGAAGGATGGAAGAAGGTGGGTGTCAGATCCCCTGTAACTACAGTTATGGACTGCTGCTAGGCATCAAGTGAGTGCTGGGAACTGTATGCAGGTCTTCTGCAAGGGAGCCAGTGTTATCAACTGCTAAGCTTCTCCAGCCTCAGGCACTGTGTTTTATAAATAAATAGGCTAAGAGTTTACAATATCACTTGTGAGAGGTGATTCAGGTCAACAACTAACCAGAATCCCACACCCCGCCACCCCCACCACTCCATTGTTTCAGGACTGTTATCAGTGGGAAACCATCGAAGCCAAGGACTACATTTCCCAGCTGCCTTTACGTCCAAGTCAGTCCTTGGTGATAATTCTCAATGCCTGTATGCCACCAGAGTCCAGAACATCAAGGGCACAGGCTGAGCAGTCCAAATCTGGTATTAAAAATCAGGACTTTTTCAGCACCAATATGATGCCACAAAAGGCAAACTGCATTCATCATGTGACACGTTGTAGGTACACTGTTAAGAGTGCTTAAACTGGGTGTGGTGGTGCACACAATAATCTTGCACCTGACAAGTAAAGCTGGAGGATCAGGGGTTCAAGGTCATTCAAGGCTACACAGAAATCCCACCTGCAATTAAAAAGAAGACACTATAAAATCTTTCAGGAAATGCAAGAATACACAAAATAAAGGAATTTCATCTTAGATCTGGGGCTCATCTCCAAAGTAACTCATCAGACAAATACAAATATTCCCAAATCCAAAATAAAATTCAAAAGCTGAAACAATTTTGGTCCCAAGCATTTTGGATGAGGAACACTCAACCTGTATCCCTCTCCCGCTCTCACTTTACCTGTCAGCTGATAAAAGCCCTTCAGGAGTCACAAGACAAGATGAAATCACAGAATGAATGCATGGAAGGGCTCACAATGAGTTATCAAATCAGTAAGAAATAGAGTGCTGTGCTCCTGAAATCTGGAATCTGAGAAAAAAATCAAACAATAATGTGCACAAAAATGTGAGACAGCAGCAAGATTAAGATCAGAGCAAGCACTGTGTAACATTCTACAATGATCAACGTGCTTATGAGACAATGAAATTTGTAGGAAAAGAAATGAAGCTGGAAACGAGGTGAAGGCAGAAATGAGCAAGTTTGAGCCATAGTGGGGAAGGGTGTTGACAAGCTGGAGTGAAGAAGCAGGGGTGGGTTCCATCAAAGGAAGGCATACAATGCTACACTCAGATTTGTGGACTTCACTGCGCTGTTAAGTGAAGTGAGATTTCAAGGCAAGAAGCCAGGTAATAAGTAACAAACAATAAAGCAGGAAGATGGCCTGGCAAAAAACTTCAAGAAGGCAAGGGTGATGATGCGTAGTAAGGACTGACTGAAATGACAAAGATGGCGGAAGTACGAGGCTCTGTCGAAGCTTAGACACAAGGGGGGACTGAAAGAGAATAAACCATGGCAAAGGTTTACGTTTAGATGACAGGCAAAAAACATGTTCCTAAAGACTTGTCTACAGCCTAGGTACGAATTCTAAATACTATATCTTAAAACTTGAAAATCTGAAAACAACTGGATGAGATCAGTGATAAAACTAGCAGGATGAACAGGTGGACTGCTGGACATGTTCGCTAACCCACTGATTCTTAGAGATTAAAATTTCAGTATTTAGAAGATTATTCTATCACTTACCTAAGAGCAGTCACTATCAGAGTCAGATAACATGCTGATGTTACTAAACTAGAGACAAGGGTCAGATAAGCAGGCAGTAGCCCCAAATGACTGTTTTACAACTTTGGAAGGAAAAGATTTTAATTCATGTCCTGTTCTTTTAATTTGTTGTGTGGCTTTGAAAACAGTTTTGTTCTCCCCAGTTTAGGTTTCATTTATCATGAAAACAAAAAAATGTTGATGATCATAGGCTAAGTAACTGAAAACCAAGTAAATACAAATTTACTTAATTGACAAACAAGGATAATATATAAAACTACTGACCCCAAATTATGTGAGCAGTTTGTGCTCCTGGTGATCAAGTCAATGCACTGGGCCCACTAAAAGCACTCAAGGAACAAGATGCACCAATATTCCCACAAGAAGCTCAAGGCTTGTTTGTGGCTAAGCCATAACCAAAAGGGGCAAAAACCCACGAATGAAGCCAGGTGTCTTGGATTTGCCGGACAACACGAACTACAGGACACTTGGTGCAGAGGGATTCGCAGCCCCTTCATTAAGGCTATTGAGGTTCCAAAACCTCTCAACTGGAATTTTTTAACAAATGTCCCAGAGATTGCTTACTGGACTAGAGAACATTTGATTAATTCACTCTAAAGAACTAAGATTTCATCAGAAAAGTTTGCTTCATCATTATCTTATTCTGACTTTCCCACACTTGAATGTACTTTTGGAGCAAAGCTTGAAATAAAAAACATAACAGACCAAGAATTCCTTTCTTCCAGTGACTTGCTAGGATTAAACTCTAATTGCTGTAATAGAGAAGTATGTCTTTGATCACATCATGTTCCATCACCAGTCCAGAGCCTTACTTTAAATATATATGAAATGCAGTCTACGTCAGACAGATATAACAAGCAAGGAAGAATGGTAAGAGGACTAAGGTTGGTATAAAATACACCAAAGGCAAATAATCTTCCTGTGCATCAGGAACCACAAGCTCACTAGTCGTGGGTGGTGGCAGACAGCATTAAGGAGCAAAACTGAACAGATAAAGATGGGATGAAGAGGTGGGACCCCAGCATGGGGGCACATGACTTTAATCCCAGGACCCAGGAGGCAGAGGCAAGAGGAAATCTTATCTCAAAAAAGGGGGGGGTGCGGTTTACAAGGAGATAAGTGAAACACAGCACACAAATGAACAACTGACTAAGGTGCGTGTCTTACTCAGCTCTGGCCCATCATGCCTTTGCCTGATGGGCTGGCAAATCTTTGGTGTGTCTCCCCGCCCCCAATGCTAGAACTCAGAAATGTAGCATTTCTGGGTAATTAACTTAGACATAGCTCTTTGCTCTCTTCCCAAGGGTGGGATCAACACACTCCAGCCACCATCCTTTCATTATTTTCTGTTTTTTCTCAGCATGTTTTTCTAACCAAACTTGTGCCCCACCTTCCAGTATTTCCCAAACTAGCTGCCAACTTTGGAGATAAATTCAGTTTTAATCAGGAGAGAAAAATGGGGGCATAGGTGGAGAAGGGGGGGGGTCCTAAAACAATGAGAAGCCCAAAGTGTAATATTAGAGAAGATTTATGAAAAGGGCATGGGAAGAGAGGTACTGGCTAGTGCTTTCACACTGCTGGCCTGGAGACACTGTAGCAGATAGCTAAGGGGCATTGTAACAGCTCAGACAAGTTCTCTGACAGATACTGGGAAAGAGGCTGTGCCTTCCTAAACTGGTTTCCTCTTTTGCAAATGGTGAATGGAAACAGCTTTTACTTCAAAAAGTAGGTGAGTTTGAAAACTACACATGAAGAGTTTAGGTTTTACAAATCAGAGCCTCCTGCAAAAGAGGAAAAAACAAAAAGAACAACAAAAAAATGTTTATCTTATTTACTAAGCTTACAGTCCGCCTTAGGGCTGGGAGAGGGCAAAAGTGATTCCTAAGAGATTCTTCCTATTATAATTAAGCAATGATAACTTGGCTGAACAACAGGAGTTTTACTCCAAAGAATACCAAGGTGAGAGAGACAGAGGATATCTTGCCCCCAGGAAGCATACAGTATAGTGCGAGAGATGTGAAATAATACAAATATAAATAATTAGCTGCTCTTTGAGGACAGAAAATGTCTTAAGAATTCTGTCAGTCCAGGATACAGAAAGCATTTTTGAGGAAACCCAGATGTTACATTGTTTCTAAATCTGGCCTATCATTTCTTAGCTATTTGTAACAAATGCTGGTGACCACACAGACCTCAAAAAAACCATCAATTAATCTACAAAAAGTAGGAAAACAGAAACAGTGAAGTGCCTAGAAGTTTGGCTACTAGCGGCCACCAATGTTCCTACCAGCAAACTGAAACACATTTTCTCTGCCCCTTCATTTACCCACCCATGACTTAGTTAACACCAAACTGCTTTCTGGGTCAAACAGACACCTCTGTGCACATGCAGCCCGGTCCACACTGAGGCCCCTAGGTTTTCTCAGGCACTGAAAACATGGGCACCATCTATGGTCCACATTCTAATTAGTAAACTACCTCTGAAAGTCAAAGACCTCCCAGAAAAACTGGCAAGAGAAACAACAGATTAACCACAAAGAGCAAAAAACAAAATTCCTATAGAGAAGCGAGTGGCATTAAAAAGTAACAGTGTATTTGAGTGTGGTGGCACATGCCTGTAATCCCGGCAACTGGGAGGTCAAGGCGAGATTGAGTTAGATGTGAGCCTGATTTACAGATGGCTCAAAAACAAAGAGCAACCTCCCACTCCACCGCCCCCTAAGAAAAATCCTAATTAATCTCTTGTAAATAACACAAATTTGCCAAAGTGACTGAGGGGTAGATTTTGTTTAAAATAAATTTATTTTCCTATCCCAACCCAAGGTAAAACGGCTTTTATATTTCTATGCAGAGGTATCAGTGAGGTATGCTTAGCAAAGCCAATAAGATTCAAGTCCCAAGTCCGTCACAATGTTCTATAACCTTGAGTAAGTCTTACTGTTTAGTTTTTTTTTTGTTTGTTTGTTTTTTTTTAACTCAGTCTATAACCAACGTAGGAAACTTGTATCCTGATTCGGAGCATTAAAAGCTATAACTACAGTGCTTAAAAATTACTTACAAAAAAACTGACCTCCCTGAAGAGCAGGGTGCCTGAAGAGAAAATAGACAGGAAAATCAGAATTCGAATAACGATACAACTAACAATCGTAGAGAATCCATTACTTGTATGTCAGGCACTGACTGTATGTAAACTTTGCTTCTCCAAAGATGTCGAAGCGTTCTATGATTACCAGTACTTCCATTTTCCTAACACTGAAACTGAAGCTCAGTGAGGGGAAGGGACTTGTCCAAGACAACTCAGCAAGTAATCGGATTCAGAAATCACTCTCCAGCTGCCAAGCTCATCATCGACAGCCGGCAAGTTTGTCTCCCCGGTTTTGCCACGAACTAGTTATCTGAGTTTGGCCAAGTCGAGCCTGTCTCCTGGGGGCCCTGCGCTTACAGGAGACGGAAGGTGGTCTCCGGACCCTAACACCGACGTTACGGGGTCCGGGAGGCCTGAGGACAGAGAACCTCCGGCAGCCGCGTGGCTCCAGCCAGGGCCCAGGCTCCCGCCCCCGCCCCGCCCCGCGTCCGGCAAAGCCGTCGGTCTCAGAGGCACTCGCTGCGCTGCAGCAGCGGGACACGCGCTGCCAGCCCGCCCGAGCCCCGCGGAGTTACCCGTCCATTACATCCAGGTGCAGGTAGTCGGCCCCCGAGTCCAGCATGCGCAGGCACTCGGCCCCCAGGTTGGCCAGGTCGCTGTTGAGGATGGACGGACCGATCTTGCAGCCCGACGCCATGGTGCCGGTTCCCCAGACCGATGAGCCCACGAGAGCCCGAGCGGCCAAGGCGGCGCCCCGATTGGGCGCGCAGCAAGGGCTCCGCCCCCTCCCCGCACAGTCTTCCGGACTCTGCCGGAAGCAGCTGCCCTGCGGCGAGGAAGTCCCGCCTCCTGCCAGGGGCGGGGCTTTCAGCTGGCCAGCTAGGGGGTGGGGCCTGGCGGGGAGGTGCTACTCCTGGCCTTCACACTTTTCAGTGTGGTTCTTTTCCTCCACTCCCCCAGTTTTTCTTTTCTTTCTATTTTTGAGACAGGGTCTCCCTGAAGCCCCAGCTGGCCTGGAAAGCACTATGTAGACCAGGCTGGCCTCCATCTCACAGAGATCTGCCTGCCTCTGCCTCCTGAGTGTTGGATTAAAGGCATGCACCACAACTCCCACTCTTGCTCTTTTTTGTTTGTTTGTTTTGTTTTTTTAAAGGAAAAATCTGGAAAGGGCTAAGTGTCCACTGTCAAATGTGTCCAGAGTCTGGGTCAAGAAGAGATGGAAACCTATGTGAAGATAAAAATGGATTGCATAAGAGCAATCCCTACAGGGAAAGAATAGGATAGCTCATAATGTGTATCAAAAGCATACCTGGCTAGGTAACTTGGCCGTCATGGTTCTTATGACTACATTCAGAGGCCGATCAGGTCTTTAACATTCTCACTGGGAAATCTACCATCATTCCAGCTGATCGTAATCTCGGCAGTGACAGCAAGTGGAGACTCCTGTCTTCCATTTGTACATTCTGCTTTATCTTTACTAGGGGGTGGAAAGCACAGGTAGAATGGAGCTCAGTTGAATGTACAGGTAGAGGGTTTGAAGGTGCCTACCTGGGTGTTGACTTTAGACCAGATCTGCGGTCCAAGTGTGAAGAACATCAAGAGATTAGCAAAGGAAGGGCCACTCTAGGCCTTCAGATGATCCAGAGTGCGCCAACCCGTTCCCGATGGAGAGAAATGAAAAAGACTTATTAAATGGTTTTAGATTTATTTTATTATATGTGCATATTCAAACACGGAAGTCAATCTTTCATAAATATCTTTCATAAACATTTCAGTATTTATTCATATGCATTTTTCCATGCTCTTTGGTCAATCAGTATTAATAATAGACTTTATAGTCATCTGAGGGAAGTTGGCTGTGTAGTCAATCCTTTGTTTTTACCTAAAATGGCTAATAAAGGACTTTCATCCTGTGGTCACAGTGACTATTAAAAATATTATGGAGGTATGAAGATTTATGATCCAAAATGATCCTTAAATAATATAAATAAATTTGTCATAAGCTTTCCCAAGTACATTCTGCCCTCAACTTTTTATTCTCCTGAGTGTCAAATCAAAGTTTGCTTCTGAAATGTTGCAGTCAAGACCCACAAAAGTAAATGAGGAGGTGGGCCGTTTTACTCACTGGTGAGACACAAGGCCATGGGATTGGAAGTGTGAGGTCACAGGGCTACAGCAGGACTCTGAGTGACAGCAGCAAATTCTGGAGACTGCTCTGGTAAAGTTCTCTGTGTAACTTGAGGAAGGATATTAGGTTCATGTTTTGGACTATAATTCTATTGATTTATGACCCCCTTTTCCCTATAGATCTCTACACATAACACTATTCTTGTCTCAGAAACTCTAGGAGCTGGGCAGCAGAGTAGAGAAAGTTCTTCACTGACTGAAAGAACAGATGCTAAAGAAGAGATGTCATCTTGTCTAAATTAATCTTAGAGACTTTAAGTAGCAAACCAGTGATTTCTTCTGGTATTGCCACATGCCCATTTATACATTTTGACACTGTAGTTGGTTCTTAGTGTCTTGAAGCAGCTCACTTTCCCTTTCAGAAGAACCAAGTAATTTATCTAATAGAATTATAGAAAGCAGTGAATACTGAAAATGAATGCAAAATGTTTGTATAGAAAATGCTGTGTCCAGGATTTGAACTGCTTTAATCTGAGTAGTATCACGGATAATACATTTTTAATCCAAGGTCTCTCTAAAGTTACTTTCAGAAGGAGCAATCTCTTTATGGAGTGTAAATTTTTTGTGCTTGGGAAGTGGGTTCCTTGTTTTATCCTTCCTCTGAATGAGATAAACATCATTATCACAGCTTAAGAAATGAACTGTCATTAATAGTATTGTATTTATCAAATATAATAATTAGTTCTGTCATATTGTGAATATTACAAAAGATTGTCAGTTATCTTGAACTTTTTCCTTATCTTCCCCATCTGCTTTGTTGTTGTTGTTGTTGTTGTTCCTTCAAACTCCAGATAAAGTATTCCTGAGAATACATCTTGTGACATCTTATGCACATACATATAAATACTCTAGTAACTACACATAAACATTCAACACATTACATTCAACACATTTTAGGACACATCTGCAGAATCTCAGTAGTCCCAATATAACACATCTCCACTCTTTAAATCCCTGTTTCACAGAGTGGACTCTTTTTTGCAAGGTACAACATTACTTAGCTTATTGAAAAAGTGTCCAACAGACTTCCATACACAAGAGTGAAGGAGTTGGGTTAAAAGGCAAACAAATGAGTAAAATCATTTCCCCAAACAGCCCAACACATTTAAAATATATATTAATGTATTTAGGATTATTGTTGAGGCTGTAACAATCTTCACTGACCCCTATAATTTTAAAATATTTGACACATTTATAGAGAATTTGAATCAAGAATCAAGAAACTGGAACAGAGCACATACATATAGAGAGACTCATGTAACCCAGACACTTGTAATTAGCAAACATAAGGCCTCTAATGCTATTTGAGCAGCATAGTTTTTTAACAGGCATAATATATCAGCTTAGAATCAGAAAACCACTTTACATGTCTACTTCTGCACTTAAGAACTAATTCACCATTAAATATAAATGATGTGAAAATGTTATAAAACAGAAAACAGGTTCATTTATCTCCTTGATTTTTTGTACTTGATCTTAGCCAAAAGGCCAAGAAGTTATATCTCCTTGGTTTTCTGAATTGAGGGATTTTATATTTTATTCTGGTATCATTAACTACCAGTTGCCTTCATTCTTTTGATGAATGGGACCTCACCCTAAATTTTATTTGCAATTATAAGTCACAATATAAGCTGTGCTTATTTAATAAACAATTCTAACATAAAATCATTGTTGTGATTGTTTGGGTTTGTAGGTCTCCTCTTTATATACATGTACATTTCACAGCCAGTATAGTCAACAGTTAAGCATACAGAATATATTTTAAATTCATCTCAACATAGTAAAAATCTCTGTTTAACTTCTATTTGAAGACTAAAACACACACACTACCATGCTAATTTAGGTATGTGTATGAGTTTTTTTCAATGCTTAATAGTTACATAACACTTCTTTAATGTAAAGTGCTAAGATTTTGAAAACCATTTATGAACTGTATGATGCCCAGCCCTTTGATAATCCATTAAGTACTGGCCTCACGAGCCTTCTAAAGTTTTGTTTTGAAGTAACTGCACTTCACGTTAAAGCCCTATTTGTAAAATAAACGAGTTTTTTTGTGTCTATGAAGAAACTGGTTACTTTGTATTTTTCCTCATAAACTTAGATCACCTAAGGATCATAAGAATATTTGAGTATCAAGAAAATTTATTTTTCTGGTCTAATTCTAACAATTTAACTCTCAGCTATGAAAATATGCCCTTAAGGGCAGGCACAGAACATTGTAAAGGAAGGTATTTCCCAATAAATACTGATCTTGGCATTAATGTAGTCAGGGCTAGGAACAGGAATATTCTCTCTTTCAAGATATAATATCTACATTTAGTTTCCCTAACTGTATAGCTGTTTATGTTATTAATTCAGATTTGTGTCTGATAATTCTATCCTATTCTCTTTCTAATATGATTGATATGAAATGGAGTGGTCTGTGGCATTAGCATTTTAATTTACAGCATGTAGTGAAAAATAACAGTTGGAAAATAAATTTTGAAAAGTCCACAGCTCTAAACATGGTTTTTTCTTTGACTAACTGGCTGATTATTGACCAAAACAAAAAAATGGCTGTAGCCTTATTACTTAGTCTTTCCGATCTAATATTTTTCTCACTGGTTGTTTTTATGTAAATTGTTATGTGTACAGCCACATAATGTAGTATTTTTGAAACTATAAAAATAAACACTTTATGAGATGCATAACGTGATGTCCTTCCAAAAATTGCATTTTTTTAAAGAACATATTGTTAGTATTCCTGTGAAAGCAGCACTGAAATAGTAAATATTTTTAAGCTCAAGGTGAGCTATGAGCAATGTGCAATGGCTCTTTCCCCTTATTCTTCCCTGGTTTTTATGGTCTTCACACAACTAAATATTTTTAGCCATTGATCTTTAAGATGTTTATGAAATGTTAGGCATTTTGGCAGCAAAATCTACTCAGACTGATGCCACCCACTGGCTATAAAGTGCTGTTTTATAATTCATCTTGTATCTCAAAAGTACTCAACTCTACTCTGCGCAGAGTGATTCTTCTCAAGTCTTCTCTACATGAAGTGCTCATGAGATACAGAACTAAACATGGGACTCATCCAGTGCTGTGTCTGTTTCCCCCAGCTCAGCAGGAGTGAGAGTGAACTGGCCGGACAGCAGGGGGTTCTCCATGCCATTTTCCTCACTGATATGAAGGACAGTGTCTCCATGCTGCAGGAGGCTGGATGTCTCAAGGCCAGTGAAGTCATCATGGTCAGAGAGTTGAGTAGAGAGGGGGCTATGTGCTGTGGCACCTTGTGCTTCTGTACCCTCCTTTTTTTCTCCTTCTTCAGCAAGGAGGGGCTCACTCTGTGAGTAAAAGGATCAAAACATCATGGACAGGTAGGATGGGTACCAGAGAAGAATATCAAAAAATGCTATACAGCTAGAACTGGAAAAGAAAGCAAAAAGGTGAGTCCCAATTCTAGTCTAGTGTTATAGGAGAATCTCCACAGGGCCTTCCTGCTTCCAAAGCCTCTGTTTTCTGACCTTTAATATGAGCATATTTTTAGGCCCTGAATATATTACAGACTTAAAAACTAACTGAGATATTAATGTGTTAAAATGCTTTTTACCTATTAAAGCTCATGCAAATGTGTATAATAATATTGTCCTTCACTTTCTTTAAATAATCACATAAAACTATGATTCCTTAGAAATTTATTTATAAAAACCCAAAGAAGAAAAATATCAAAATAATGGGGAAAAGCATATATATATATATTCCTTTTGAGACAGGATCTCCCTGCAACCCCAGCTGACCTGACACTTGCTGTATAGATCAGGCTGGCCTTGATCTCACAGAGCTCCACCTGCCTCTGTGTCCAGTATTCTGGGATTAAAGGTGTATGCTGCTACACAAGGTTTGGGAAAAATATATTTTTTTAAATTCCTCTGATCATCTAAACTAGTAACTTCATTTGCTTTAATTGAAATATATCTCAGCTATGTATCAAATACTTGTTATCAGTGATTATTCCAGCTGCAAAATATTTTCTTTTAGTTTTTCTATAGATGAGAATACCCAAACTTCTCTTGGCTCTTCTTAAGTATAGATATATTCCTGGCCATATGCTTTATACAGATTTTCTTTTTCACAATGACAAAAACAGTGTCTGTCTGGATAACAACATATTGCAGACCTAGACTTAATTATTTGGAATAAATTTGCAATACCTGAGTGGTTCCAACTAGTAAAAATGCAGGTAACAGAGCTTGCCTATTTCTGCATGTCCTCCCTCACCTGCTTGGGAGACAGGCTGTGCAGATCAGCAACAATGATGGCAGGAGAAGATGTGAGCACGGGTTTGTCTATTCCTTCTGGCTTCCTAGGCAGGCCTGGGCTGCAGCCCTGTGGTTGGCTTGGGGCAGGAAGTATGTCTATTGGGGCAGCTGTTGACTCTGGCTGAGCCTCAATGAAGGTCACAGATCGTTTCTGATCAGCTGTAAGTTAAAGGTGAACCAGTAAGTAGGGGAGAAATTGATCATCAGTGCTTAATAATTAGCATTAATCAATGCCTCTTGGATTTTCTTTATAATGAATGTGATTTTATAGGACTATTTTATATACTTTGATTTTTATCTTCTTACATAGAATGACTTGGGTAGAGAAAATTATTTTTACAAAAATGGCCTAAAACAAGATTTGCAATGGGAATTTTTCATAACGGCCCTCATAACAGTGGTTAACAGAACTAAAATATGCAGGCTACTGTACACCACACCACTGTCTTCAATGAGACTTAGAATAATCCTAGTTCCTGGATTGAGTAAAGTGCCAAAGGGGAAGGGAAGAAGGGGGTATGAAGAGAATTTTCTGTATGAAATGCACAAAAATTCAATAAAAATTAAAAGAAAACATAACTCTCTACACTCAGATTCAGAATACTAATGTTTTACCTTGGCTTGTTCCATTTCTCTAGGTTCACTGGGGTGGGAACAGGGGTCAGGGAAGGTGACAAGAAAAAAAAGTAGTAAAATTTTCTGGGAGACTTATCCTAAGGCCTCCTGAAAGGTATGCTTATTCGTATCAGCTTAGTTTCTGCAGGCCTTCCTGGCTGGGCTACATGGCATCCCAACAATGGTGACCATCAGGAGGGACACAGGAGGTCTCACCAGATGGCTTTGTTTTAGGTTGAATGCTTCTCCGAGTAGTGGACAGTCGAGCACCATGGCGGTTTCTAGGTTCGGTTTGAGTCTTCTGCCTTGACAGCAGAGGTCGTCTTAGCTGAAGAAAATGGATAAAATAAAACTGGCAAGAGGATCCAACTGACTGGGAACAAACGCTGGATTCAGAGGACTCTGACCATCTAAGTTGTCTCAATTATTTCTCCATTGGAGCCTAAGAACACTAATGTACTTAAAACTGCAAATTTGAGAAATTCAATGACGATATAAAACTAATACCTATTTCTTACCTAAAGGTTGCAGTTGAACATATGCTAACTTTCAAAAAGGTTTATTTAAAAAAATAGAAGCCTCTAGCATCCATGCTGAAAAGCACACACAAAAACATCAGTGCAGAACTTCAATGATATTTAAAAAATGACTTATGAGCCAGATGTGATAGTGCACCTGTAATCTCAGCACTCAAGAGGCTGAGGCAGGAGGAGTCTGTTTGACACTAGCTTGGACTATATAGAAACTGTCTGGAAATAGAGAGAGATGAGAGGTGGGTGATAAAAGATGAGAGAGCTGAGAGAGAGGGAGGGAAAGAGAAAAAGGAGGAGGAGGAGGAGGAGGAGGAGGCTCATGGAAGGAAATTTGTAAAGAATCTGTGAAGACTACCACTCCCCTCAGGCTGGGCTCAAACTCTCTATGTGACCCACGATGACATCAAATTCATGATCCCCCTTCCAAATTCCAGGAATACAGGCATGCACCACCATTCCTAGCTGAAAAGATGATCTTCTATTTCAAATTTAAATTAAAGCTCTAACCTTGAAATGAGAAAGGACGTGACTTTGTCTTTGCAGAAACAGGTATTCAATGAACTATATGACAGATCTTCCACTGTCAGTGAGTTTGGCTTGGAAAGAAGGCTACCAAATAGGGAACAAGAAGAATTATAGGGTAACTTCCTTTACTAAGCAATCAGTTTTACACAATGAAAGGTTAAGGTTTGAAACAGAAGCCTCACAGTCTCAGCTTGCCGAAGCACTTACCGGGTTTTAAAACACTTACCAGGCACTGTTTTATTTCAGGTAAAAGGGCAAATTATAATCTTAAACACAGGCATTAACAAGAAAGTAGAGTTTCCATCTTATAGGATGATTCTCCCAAGCTTTCTGGGTGGTCTTACCTGCCTCAAGCCCCTCTTCCTCCCCAGTGGCTGCTGCAGGAGGAGATTCTGCTGGCCAGGTTCACTCTGCACACTTGCCACCCTGCCAAGCATCAATAGCATTAGTCTACACTGGAGACAATGCAGAAGGCCATCCTCTGTGGGTGTTAGTCAAAACCACTTATATGGAACAGTCACTTCAAAGATACCATTATCTTTGAAGGATGGTTGGGAAAGAGTCCCTGGGATAGGGGTTTTCAAAGGTTTGGGAAGGAGGACAAGGCCTTTTAGCCCCAAGCTGCCAAAATTGAGATTCTGTTTCCAATCTCTGGTGCTTTATCTCTCATTCAGAAAAACATTGGTTTGATCACACCCCTGGTTTGGAAGCCAGCAAAAGGCTTAACATTAAATGTCATATTCTAATCTCAATTTTTTTTCGAAGGGGAATGGAGACGCTGGTGACAAACACACACACAAACAACTCTGTCACATGGATGGTAACACCTTTTTTAAAACTTCAATTTAAATGAAAGTAAAATGGACAGATGTCGAACACATCAGACACAGAATCCATTTGGGTGAAGGGGCACATTCAACACGTTTGCAGCCTGAAGTCTCTGTGACTACTGAATGGATGAATAGTCACATGGGTAGAATATTCAAATGCATTTGAAAACCATTTTAGATTTGAAAGGCTGGCAAAGTAATGAAACTATCAACACAGCCCAAGTAGCTGTGCTCAAGTGTACTGTGCAGTTTATAAAAGCAACAATCTGCTCCCCCCAAATTTACTGTGTATATGTGTCTTTCATAAGCAATAATGACTATGGGCAGGGTTTGCTGTTTTAGTGTTGGGTGAAGCTGAGCACACTGAAATGGGCCCAATGACTCTTTTCCATTCTGCATGCACGTGTCATAGGTATTTTGAGTGGGAAAAGGGATGAAAAAAATAACACTGTGCCCCAGAGAACATTGTAATTTTGTGGACGATGCCAATGTGATTAATTGGTTAATGGTAAATTAACTTCTGCTTTGCCTTTGAAAAAGGAGAGTCATCTACAGATATTGTTAGGGAGAAATATTTCACACAGGAACCCAGAGTCGGCAACTGTCCAGGAAAAAAATAGAATGATTATATTCATTCATTCACATTTTTTTAAATGTGCCACATATATATCTAGCTGCACCTTTAGGAAGAGAAACTGGTGGCAAGATGGGCATATTCGGATGATTCTCATGTGCTGCCCACTGGATAATAAACACATAATTGCTACAGTCATATCTACCGTTTTTAAAAGTCTAGCTCACATATTTTTACTAGAAGCTAAAGTAATGATTTTCAAGTTTTGCCACATTTTCTATGAAATGGGGATATGGTGACACCATTTGGGGTATGCAACACAAAATTGTATAAAGGGTACAAAAACAGGTATTTAAAACTTTTTTTCTTCTCTTGAATAAGTTCAAGGATTTATAAATATATAAACCTTGCAGCAGCATACATGAACTTTCTAGGAAGATGGAAAATTCCTCCAAAGCCACAGTGCAGTAAACCTGATAATCAGTACAGACTATGTTGCCGGTATATTTGAAACGACATCTCCTTATTAATTATATGTTTTGACATGTGACTGTTAAGTTGGAAAGAGTAACCATATGCACAAAAGTAGAAACATATTTCTCCCAATATCAAGCAAAGCTTTCATAGGAATGGATTCTTCATTGACATCTAGATGTTACCTCAGTTCCCTTGGCCATAAAGGGAGGTGACACTTACCAACTACCTCCCGTTAAGGTAGAGAAAAGAAGTTAGTTGATGTGAAATGGTTTGAATATGAAGAGTGATGTATGTAGCATGCTTTCTTGTTTACATTTGATGTTTGTAATAGTTTATTGCTTCTAGAACACTGAAAGGAAGTAGGCAATACAATATTTTGAAAATAACTGGGCAGAGAAAATGAATAGGAGGCGGTCCACTTGTCTTATTTTTATTCAGTAATCTGAGATTGTGACGAAAAAATGGTGCAAGAAAAGAAAAATAAACATTATTTGGAGTGTTAAATGTTATAACGTAACAGTAATTTCACAATGATTACTCTAAAGGGGAGGATCATGAGCATCAAAATTTCTCTATGGATAGAGAGGCTTATATCGGAGAAATTGATCAGGTTTATAGCCTTAGTAATTCTATGTAAATAAAATAGTACTTCACCATGGAATGAACACATCAAAGATGAAATTATAGAACATATTCCTGAAAATATATCCCTGGTAATAAATTATATACTCCCTAGAAATATGATGGTAACATTTATATTTGCAACATCAGTGGCTGCTTAACAGTGAATTGTAAGCCATATTAACAGCAGCCAGAAAAGCTAAGAATGGCGATAGCTTATGCAAAAGGCATCTATTTTGTTGGAGTTTATATCAAGCTGCATGAGATAGATATAAAAATTGATCTTAATTTAGCTTCTATTCATATCATATAATACTCATATGTAGGATTTGTAATGTATGTATATAAGATGTATAACACTAAAATGAACCAGACAAAGGCTGTGTGCTTGCACTATGAACCTCTATGTATCATAGCCCACTTTCTATTTTAAATTTTTGAAGTCGTCCCTTACAGTCTTTACCTACCACAAATGTAATAATAAAAATTATTTTCCTCATTAAGGAATTATAGTATTTTATTAGATAGTCTCAAACTTTAAAGGAATATATTATAATAAGCAACTGGATTTTTTGAACAGTTGAAATATATATTTCATGTATAACAGTTATGAAAAATAACTCTTTAAAAGTTGAGACTATATCAAGATTTGTTAAAGTAAGCTGGGCATAGTGGTGCATGCTTTTAATCCCAGCCCTGGGGAGGCAGAGGCAAGGTGCATCTCTGTGAGACTGAGGCCAGCCTGGACTACATGGCCAGTTCTAAAGCCAGTGGGGGCTACAGGGAGACCCTTTCTCAAAAAACAAAAAGTCTTGTGAAAGTAGTGGAGCGAATACTAAAATACCTTCTACAGAACACTGGTTTCATGAATTTGTTTTAATCGTAAGAATGACAAACATCTGACTTCTATTGTCTTGACCCAAATAGGGTGAAACAGTAAGTGCAACAAGTTTCCAAGTTGCAAGTAACATCCCACAATGTATTTAGAAATAAATAATCTTCTATTTTGGAGGGGCATAGACTCATTGTGTAACCCCGGCTGACCTGGGACACACCATCCAGTGGCTTCAGCCCCTCAAGTGCTAGGGTATACTGTAGGCATATGTAACCATGCCCATACCCTACTTTGGCCTTCTGAGTTGCTGAAAATCTCACTATGGTACAGCAAAGTATGACCTAGATTTTAGAGGAGTAAATGAAACTGGGGCTCAGCAGAACTGGTGTGATTTGAACTGTCTTCAAAAACCAGTTCTTACTTAGCATACAAGAATATAATTTGCAAGCCAAGGGAATCTGGGCTTTACTGGGAAAACAATTCTGACAAAGATTACTTCTTTTTTACTGCTGCAGCATGATGGCTTGGCCTGTACTGTATAAATATGCATCTATTTCCTGATTATATACCTGATAGCATTTCTTAAAATAAGACCTAAGCAAACAGGGAGCCAATTGGTATGCAAGAGTAATTTGTGTCACTCAAATTGTTAAACAATAGATTATGAATTGAGGTGTATTTCAGATATAAAAACTTGTGCAGAAGCACTGGACGACAACAGTACATGGATAAGTAAGTTAGTATATTTATTTCTTCTGTCTGTGCTTTTGGTTTCAATTTTAATATGCCTATAGCACTCGAGATGGAATATAAGACCTGTGGCACGGCCATTAAGCTTGAATGACTGCCTTGAGATAGAAATGCAGAAAGTCAACACTAATGGAGCCATAGGCATTTGCAGAGAACGAGAAGTAAATATTAGAGCAAATCCCACTCCTCCCTTCTCAATAAAAAATTGTTGTTTAAAATCTGCATTGCCTTCACAGCACCCAGGAAAATAGATTTTAAGTACCACAGAATTTACAAATTAGAGGATTGAATCTGATTATAAGGAAGGAATAACTGGATTTTAGATATCTTATGAGAACTGACTTAGCAGTGGGAAAGAACCCATCTGTGTATCGCAACACACATTTTCTGAGCCATGAATTTTCAGCTGTGTTAAAAGGCTGTTGGAATGGTCTCTTTGCACGTTTAAGTAAACTTGCTAAGTTTTCATGCTTTAAGACTATGTCTGAGCATGAGATGGGTTCCACTACACAGCTTATTTTTGTCTCACCTAGACTGTAGTCTTCTTCAGACTTAGGCTGCATTATTAATTTTCACTAAGTTTAAAATTTTCCTTTAAATAAAAAGCATGGTATTTCCTTTTTAAATTACAGCTCACTGTCAACACTGGCTTTTCAAAATATTCTAACATGTCTAAACAAAATGTGATTCTCAAGTGTAAACACCCAGTCTGAAGGACTTAAATAACGTCTACATGTCTCTATTATTCCGTAGAGGAAATACATCCATGGTGTGTGTATGTGCGTGTGTGTTTGAGGGCAGGACAGAGAGGGAACCCTCTACAATGAGTTTCTATATCTCTCAGAGCATCACTCTCCAAAGGAGAAAATTTTTCCATGGAATATTGCTTTAGCTCATTAATTTCTAATAGATGCTTTAAGAGAAAAAAAACACATAGAGCACAATCTTTCCAATAGGGTATTTCTTGAGATGGACCTTTAAAAGAAACCAAGTAGCACAATTTAATAAAAAAAATTAGCTTTCAATTGGTGTGGAAAATTTTTACTAGTTCCCACTTACTTATTTGATTAACTTGGTCTCTTCCTCAATTAGTCTATTTTGTCTATTTTGCCTAAAACAAGTACTCTGTTACAAGCAAAGTCTTACACAAATTAAGTGAAATGATATGAGGAGGGCTGAAGGGCTTACCCCTATCCCTTAGATAAGATTTTACCCCTATCCCTTAGACAGATTTTCCTTAGAAATCCAGAGCCAAAGTTATGTTATATTATATTGTATATATTATATATTATATTTCAGGTTCTAAATAACTGGAGTGGATTTTAAATACAACTCATATGGTTAATGGTTTTCTACTTTAGGATTTTAAGAATCTGCATAAAGAATTCTTATGCCAAAAAGTAAGAAAGGCTGGAAACTAAATATGAAGGTATGCCATTTCATAAACCCATCTCTTGTTAGTAAATACCCAAAGTTCCTCTCCTCCAAAGAGAACTTGGTGACATAATGGAGTTCAAGAGATACAGCTTGCAGCAGATGACAAAGGTGGATGTGCTACTGACTGGTGGAATGACTCCACAGCAATAGAATTATTTCAGAATACAATGCAAATTGTTCTTCCTTCCATTTCTTAAAAGATCACAGCTGGGTCTGGTGACTAACACCGAGGACCAAAGCACAACAATTACAGCAACAACAGATCAACAATGGTTGATTTAAGACAGTCATCAAAGTCCTCACATGATCAATTAATTCATCTGTAGATAAAGTCTCTGGCTTTGACTCTGAACTAGTCTTATCCAGCATGAACTTTGAGCTTCCTCCCTTTTACACTAGACCCAGGACACACTGAATTAGTTCAGATAACTCCAGCTATTTGAACCCTAGTTTTCCAGAGAAGGCTAAGTCCTTCAGAGAATTCATAAAAATAAATTCAAGCTCCTGGCCCCTTTTATACACCCTGGACTAATATTTAGTAAAAGTAGAATTTGGACTAACTAGAAAAGATCCAGCACTGAGCCATTTAAATAGAAGCCTGACTTAATACTTTCTACTCTCAATAGGTACTGGAATTGCCTTCTGAAATTAAGGGTCTCTTCTCCCATATGCAATTTAAAGTATCAAATAAGTGTGGTCTTTGAAAGCATTGGCCACTCCGCTAGCCTTTGGTGCGAGTTCTTCAAACAGTGCAAACAATTAAGGGAAACCTTCTTGAGGACTGGGTTTCTCAACTTCTTCCTTGACTCTGAAGCTCCTGCTAATGGAGTTAAGTTTGCCCTCTGCAGCACTTCCACATTTACCACCACCAAGAGACTGATCTGTCCAAGCAAGGGCTCGCAAACAAATGAATGTCATGAGTTATGGATCAAGTTAAAAAAATAGACCTGATGATGGACTAAATTTCCCATTTTCAATTGCAAAAGAAAATGTGAAATCTGAACAAGATGCAAAGGAAACAAAAGACAGCCTGTCTGTCACAGGAACGGCCTCTCAACATTTCCTCATCTTTGTGATAAAGCAATAAACACGGGGACATTTTATTCACTAAATAATGCAACCTTGGGAATGTTTTCTCTTGAGATGGAACAAAGACATTCTAAAGAGGAACAAGAAGCATTGCCCCTAATGAGGATTAGTTGAGAGGTGTAAGTCAACAGCACAAGATTAGGAATGTTTGACGTGGCTTATCTGAGTGTTAAAGGTGCAGTACCCTTTTCTGAAACTTGAAACCAACAGCCAAGATAAAATATTGTTTGCATTATACTCGACTTCTCTTACCTTATCAAGAAATGTTTGTGTCTGATATTTCACGGCAAGTTTGTGAATCATCTTTGTGTGGGAACACATATCCTTTGTTTTGTACAAGCTACAACAGCATGTCAAATGGCACGCTTCAAAGAGAAATAATGATACAAACTGCAGTGTGACAGTGCTATTCTTAGAGCACCATCACTTTCTTACTATGCATGGTATTAGCTAAAAGACCTGACTTGATTTAGTATTCCCGGATAATAGGGAGTTGTATTAAATGGTCTTTAAAAAGAAATTCTTAATGAATATCAGTGTGGAAAAGGATGATTAGATGGGAGAAATTTAACATTTGCTATATCAAACTTTAGGGGAGAGGGGGCTTAGACCCAGGGCCTTGCACATGCTAAGCACATGCTCTACCACTGAGCTATACCCCCAGCCCTTGCCATATCAAATGTTATAGATATTCACTGGACAAGCCCCATAGAAAAGTCTTCAGGTACTTTTTTTTTTAAATTAAGATTTTTAGGCTATTTGTGATTGGTCTCTGAAGCTGAAAATGAAGGAGGGTTTGCTACACCTTTGACTTCCAGGCTTGTGTGTTCATGAACAACAAAGGGCAAGGGATGAAAGTAGGTACTAAGACGGGGCAAGAGAAGACAGAGGAGACAGAGAGACAGAGGTGACAGGGAACGGCTAGTTTCCCAGAACAGACACCAATAGACAGGTAGCGTTGACACTGTACCTAGAGAGGCTGCCCTCAGCGGCCAGGCCCTGGGAGTCATCGAGGACATTAGGTTCACTGCAGGAGGGGTAGGGAGATGAAGCATTTAGGGAAAGAAAATGCAAAAAGAAAAAATAAAAAGAGAAAAAAAGGAAAAGAAAAAGAAAAAAAGCATGCAATTCTGTTTCCAAGAACCGAAAAATAAATAAATTTAACAGAACAAGGAAGGAAAAGGAGACAGTCAACCATTTCACCTTGTGCTGGGTTTGTCAAGACATAGGACTCAAGGCAATGGGGAAGGAAGGACTTCAGATGGATACGACTCTCAGAGGAGTGGTCTGTTTATCGGCCAAGAATTAAATGAGCTCCAAATGGACACATGAGCTCTGAAACCTATTGCAGAGTGAATCTGTAGAAGACGAGGCTATCATTCCTTTGGTAGCTATTTGGCTAGGTGGTTATTACTTTTAACCTATCTTGGACACAGTGTTTCAATGACCAGACCCTGCATCCTAATATTATCACACCAAAACCACTTACCATGAATGGCCACAACCACACTCTTGGAATTGATGCCATTAAGAAAAACAAAGAAAGAACCCAACTTCTCCTGCTAATTTTGCAATGAAAACGTAAGTAAATAAATGGAAGATAGCTTCAAAGTTTTACATGGAGCTTACATTTACCTCCTTACTCTGTACCCGACAGTGACTGAATTGCAAATGCCAAAAGAAGAAACCTGTCAGTTGGTGAGAGAATAGAGTTTATCCATGTGTTTGAATGTTGCTGAACTGAGATTTGGGAACATAAATTGTGTAACACTTTATCTGCTTCTCCTGTGGTGCCTAGCATTGAGCTAAGCAACCAGATGGCACTCAATATATACTTACTAAATTGTGTAGAATTTAATATCTAAAAAACTAGAGTGTCCAGTCTCAAAGAACTGAAGCTTACCTAGGTGTGTAACTCGTCTGTTTCCTGGAAGAGGGTCTGTTTGCTGTTATGCAGAGACAGTGTTACCTTAATTAGTATTCCAAAGCATGATCCAAGGACAACTGGTTCATTATATTATCTTTTCTGAATTTCTGTTATACATATATACTAGATAAATATTCTTCCTGTAAATAAGTTGATTCATTTATATACTTAGAAAGAGAATTGGTGGTCTAAGCTATTTTGGATAAATAATCAAAACTACTACTCTATTTAAAATTCATATTATTTTAGTTTTATTCACAATACAAACTTGTACATGGTTAGCAAGTAAAAAATAAATTGATAGTTACCAACAGTAACTGCTTATATTTCTTTTCATCCTTTT